CGCAGCACTCCATTGCCACAGACACATCTGGCGTGGATGTAGCTTCCCAAGATTCAGTCAATCTGTCAGTGGTGAGCAATTTCCAGAAGACGCGTTTGGATCGACTGGGCCATTTGAAGCATCTCTTTGGCTTCCCCACGTACCTGCTCAGCACGCTGCTTCGCACCCAGGGCATGTGCAACGATAGGTCACACGCCGCGCCAGTGGTGCAAGCCAGTGTTACAGGTGCAGGGAAATCATGGCTGCGAAAGCTGTTGGGGAAGACATCATCCTTGAGGCTTAGCACATCCTTTTCAGGCATTGACACTCCCAATGTGGCAATGCTGATGCTTACCCACGGGATTTGCCAGTTGCTTGGAAGGCCTGCCACAAAGGCGGACTATCCTCACAATGTGTGGGCGTGCGAGAAGTACTCCCAAAGCCAAGCTGAGCTTGCCCATGCTCCCAACCACCCGGGGTGCTTGTTTGGTGACATGTGTGACTTCTTTCACCCGGTTGTCAAGGCAAAGCTCGAGGGCATGAAGGCGTCCAACCACATTGTCAGTGTGCTGGAGCCAATGATTGAGTCAGGAACTTCAGCTGTTGTGGACACTGCCTGGTGCTACACGTGCGGGAAGATGTGCAGAGCTCCTTTGACGGAATATACTTATCAGCGTTTTGAGTGGTTTGGTTGTTAGCTTAGGGACGCACGCGCTGTGGTAATTGTTGCATTGTTGATGAGTTGATGACATCGGTGCGTTTCAGGCCGAGCCCTGCGATCTTCACGTTGCAGGGACGCCGTGCGTGGCGTTCTCGACAAGGGGAAGTCGCAACCAGTTCCTCGACCCCAGCTACATTCCGTTCTTGAGCTGGGTTGGGCAGAGGAAACTGCTGATGGAGAAAATCATTCTGCAGGAGAATGTGAGCCAGTTTCCTTCGTCAAAGATTTCACAGCTGCTGGGGTGCTTGTACCACATCGACCATGCGGTTCTTTGCCCGTCAGAGCTGGGGTGGCCAGTCACCCGTCCGCGCAAATGGCATGTTCTCCGACATCGCTACAAGACTGGCGCCTTTGCTTCGCCGTTGAACATGTTCACCAGGATCTTTTGTAGACCCCCGTCATGGCACAACGACCTCGTGCCTCATTGGGACATCTTTTTTGCGGCGAACATCAACGACCTGATGGATGAGATTGCCTGGGCGTCGCGTCGGCCGGAGTCATCAGCAAGGGACATGGCTAACCCCGATGTCTTGAAAGATGATTGGAATAGCATGACGCCCGGCGGTGCGTACTACCAAAGTCTCACCAAGTTTGAGCAGGCAAATCTTCAGAATTACATCCAGAAGCAGCCGCAGCAGGCTTACAGTTTGAACCAAAACTCGAACGTGCAGCCGACAGTCAGCAGGTGGGACGTTCTGAGGACTCTCACCAAGAACGGTGGCATCTTGTGGCAGCTTGGACAGGTTTCAACTTGGCAGGACATTGGTGACATTGGGTTCATGCTTGGTTGTAGCTGTCGCACTACAATTACAGGGGCTCGGGGCCAAAAGGAGCCAAAGGAACAACATGCGCAAAAGCAACATTTTGTTGCCAGGCCTTGTTTGCCAGTGCAAAATCAATGTAGAACCTCGGGGGAACATTGGCATGTTGGTGCTTCAACGCCATTGCTTCTTGAGAATGCATTCATAACATAGGACACATAGGCAGTCAAATTTTCAAGAACCACAATTGTCAAACTTGCAGACAGCCAGTAGAGTTAGCTAGCAGAGCCAACTGTAGAGATGAAACTTGTTCTGAGTTGACAATTTGGCCACATAAGGTCTGATGTGCACCACCGTTGGCTTGCGGCCCGTGAATCTCTCCTTTGCCAGGGCTTCCCGGCCTATCCCGAGCTGTCTGATGGAATTCCGCTGACGGGATTTGCGTTAGACGCCTGGTCAATGTGGAACACATCTCGTACAGCAGTGACAGGCCAAGCAGGGAACGCGATGCACACGGAGGTGTGCAGCATCATGATGCTTTTTTGCGTGACGCAGGTAATCGACGCACAGGCGAGTGTTTCAAGTTCCAGCGCAGTTGCTGCTAGGCTTATGTCTTTTTGAGCTTGCGCGCGCTGCAGAAGACGTTCTGACAGTCCTGGGCCCTTGGTGTAAATTGTAAATCTTGTTAGTCCCGTCGGTCCCTTCACTTTTCTGGATATGGGGTGTCGCAGTTGCAGATTGTCAACAGTCAGCGTGTTCGGATCAAGTTTGGATGGACTGCACCACCAGCGCGCAAAACGCAACTCGCTGTTATGTTTTCTGGTTTGCCTTGTGCTGCCGATGTAGACAATGACCGAATTGTCTGAATTGTCGGTATGATTTGGCAATGCATCAGCACACTCTTATAGTCTTAGTGTGAAACCGTGCGACATGTTTCATTGCAGGTTAGTTCATTGTGCAGCAATATGATGCATTAAACAAATCTTGAGGCCACTATCAAGCCAGATAAAGCAATAGCTCCAATCTGATCTGTTTTGCAGATTGAATCAAATGACCAACATAATTAAAGTTCTTGAGGAAGCAAATGTTGTTTTTGTGCTGTAGTGCGGTTTGTTGCACAGATCTGGAGATACCAGCCCCAATTTGCAGGCAGATCACTTCACGCAAGCTGCGGCTACTGTGGTATGACGGGCTTGCCGGGGATGGCAGCCTGTTTGTGGATAGCCGTCGGCGTATGTCCGCAGGTTCACCTGCTTATGCAAGACATGCAAAATGTGCTGCTGCGCAAGCTGGCGTTTGAAAGTGCATGCTGCGTGTTTAACTTGTGGCTTGCAAATGCGCGTTATGATGAGTGCTTGATGTAGGCTGTAAGCTACCGTCTCAGGTTTTCTGCTTGCAGGGGGTTACCCGGCTGTGGCCTAGAGCTGACATATAGCGTTCACTCACTGTGAGTGCTGTGTGGCGGCGCATTGTTCAGAAACTCAGAACCTCTAAATTTGCGCTTGTACTTGCGCTAACATTTGAAGCGTCTCTTTAGCATGTTGATCAGCTTGCATGATGTCACCCACGCGGTAACTTGGTAACAGCACATTACTGAGTTGACAACCTCGGCTGCTAGTGTCATTTCATTTCACGCTGCTCTCGTTGGCGTTTGCAGGACAGATGGGCGACTCCACCTGTGTCTGTGGCCATTGTGGCCACGCCCTGAGAATCAGTGGACGCGTGCGTGTCTACGCCATTTTCGAACAGTGGCTAGTGTTGGGTGGAAAACATGTTGGTCTCAGCAGAGGCTTGATGCTGCTGCTGCTGCGCATGCGTGTGTGAGTTCAACGCAAGGAGATTGTGACGCATAGTTATGCGTGAGCAAGTGTCAGCTTTTCGGCTTGCTGTGCCAGACCTCGGACACTCTTGGAATGGTTTGATGACACCTTGCCAAGTTGGGAGTTTCAGGATTGGTTTCTTTTTTCTTCAGGAGCATGGTTTTGCGTTGGATTGTCTTGTCACTCGGCCTAGCTTGCAATGGCAGATTCGGGCGAGCTGGGCTGTGGCAGCTTATCCATTTCTCCAGCTGAGTTGCGTGCAGCGCTAGCGCTGGAGGATGGAAGGCAGCCACCGCTGGGTTCTGACCGAGCTGCTCCGTTGGGAGGACAAGGTGCCGGCGCAGGCAGCTGTGGTGGGGCAGCCCTTTTGGACGGGTTTCGTCAGCGGTCGTTCAAATGCTGGGTGTTGTCAGGCTGTCGCAGTTGTCGCATGTTGATTGTGGCTGCGCAAATCGAGAGTTCAATGAGTTGCAAGTTTCAAGTTGAAAAAACAGCTGTTCCCTGCCATTGGAGTTAGGGTGCCACTGATCAGAAGAATCCACGTGACCCGTGTTGATGCCCTGAGGACCAATCCGCAGTGGACTCTGTGCTGAAGCCATCGCTCGCATCAGCAGGGCATTCGCAGCTGCAAGAAGATGTTGGCGACAAGCGCAAGCGGACACTCGGTTTGTTCTAACTATTCTATTTAGTTTTGAATTTTGTCAAGTTAGCCTGTTAGCGGTTCCTTTCGCTCTTCCAACTGTGGGTGCTCATGCCGTCACACACCGACCCACATGTATGTTCTTATTTGACGAGTGTGTGTTGGCGCCTTGGCGCCTAGGAAACTCATTATTTCACTTTGCGCTGATAGTGCGAAGGACTGACATGAAGGACCAGCAGCGAGCTTTGGAAGCCTTCCTGGGAAAGGGCAACTCGGTGTCTGAGCGCATGGCGTTGACCGGGGCCGGCACTGAGGGGATCGACATGCAGTCTGCAATCTTCGATAGATTCCAGTTGGGTGAGAAACGCACAGTGCCTTGGTTCCGCACGGACGGCCTTCGGTACATCAAGAGGCATGACTTGAACCAGCGGCGAGTTGGCGGGAAGATCAAAGAGTACGAAGCCAGCATCAAAACACACGGAATCCTTCAAGGCGTCCGTGGTGAACCCTGGCTTGTTTTCGATCCAACGCAGGACATGTACTTGGCAATCACATTTGGAACACTGACACTAGCGCTTGATTGGAACATTTTGCGTAAGTTCAGCTGCTTGCAGTGACGGAATGTCATAGAGAGCAATTGGCTGTGTTTTGGGTGCATGTTGGGACAGTGCCGAGGTCTGATGCGTTTTACGAGGTGTGCAAGGACCCCGCCGCCAGAGACTCCGCAGTCGTCCAGGCAACCAAGGTGCAAGGGCTCGTGGGGGCCCGCATCCTGGACCACAGAACTCCTGAGGAAGTGCTTGTGCGCCTTGGCTCGCTTTGGCTGACCAGATGAACGGATGCCTCCGACTGACTCAACTGTCATTTTGCCTTGCGAGTCATGACATGTGTTGTGGTGAATTTGATGATTTGTTTGCCTGGACGCATGCAGGACCCCATGGATTTCGAACGGGCTAGTTGCTTTCACGCCCGGGTTTGGCTGGTGATGCTGGAGATGCTGGGGGTGTTGCTGGGGCGTTTTTCAAGACAAAAATTCAATGAATTTTTGTCTTGAAAATCGGCGACGCTCATTGTTTGCGATGCTGGGGGTGTTGCTGGAGGTGGTGCTGGTGATGCTGGAGATGCTGGGGGTGTTGCTGGGGCGTTTTTCAAGACAAAAATTCATTGAATTTTTGTCTTGAAAATTGGCGACGCTGATTGTTTGCGATGCTGGGGGTGTTGCTGGAGGTGGTGCTGGTGATGCTGGTGATGCTGGGGGTGTTGCTGGCAATCATCCACGGAAAGGCGGTTGTCGTCCTGGCACAAGACAGTCGAGATATTTTCCAACTGCCGGGGCGTGCTTGCGAGTTTTTCAACCTTTTTGGGTGACGAGGGGGGCCGAGCGTGCTAGTTCATTTCGAGAGTCAGCCTGCTGACAGGTATTTGCGCGACCTGCACAACAATTTCCACGGGGGGCTAGCGGTGTCGTTCCACGACTGCATCACTGGAGTCGGGGAGGTGGAACAGGCGCTGCTGACTGCACGACGGTTTCGATTGCAATTCCAACTCCTGCATTGTCATGCTTTATAGAGTTGTTTGCGTTGAAGTTGTTGGAGTGTTGCTCAGCGTAGGCAATCTCATTTCAGACTAGTCTTTCTGGCGATTTACCTTGGGAACGAAAGATCAGGGAACGCGTAGGCGCGCGTCGAACAAAGCGTGTTTGGCAGCGCGTGTTCTGTGAGATAGGTAATGTGCGCATCTGTGGTGCCACTGTGTGACCAATTTGAGACCAAGTTGAGTTCCTGACTTTGAAGCGGGCAAAAACCAGGCGTGGAAAAGCTACTGCATGTTCAAGGGGCTGACCCACCGCAATTGCAAGATCCAGAAGGAGCTTTTCAGCTACATCAAAGACAACTGGTCCCACCGCTTCAAGACGGGCCAGCTCTTCGACCTTTCCAAGCGGCTTGCGCACGATCTGGCAGATTTGCAGATTCTAGAAGAGTGGGACACATTCTTCGGGCTTCTGTCTGCGCACCCTGAGGGCGAGTCCACCTTGACTGTCATTGAGAACATGCAGAGTTGCACCAGCGCAGTGTGCAGTAACTTTGCAAACTCCTATCCTGCCAAGCTGGTGGGCGTTGTTCTGCTGGAGGCCCTCAAGTTCATGGTTCATTTGGTTGAGACCGATGAGTATCGGACATTGCCTCCCCCAGCAGCCTTTGCGAAGCACAACCCCAGCTTGTTTGAGATCTTGAAAACACCCATAGCCGGGGCTGCCTGGGTGAACAAGCTCTTCAAGAAGCGCAAGGGGGCTACCTCAGCAGCAGGTGACGTGCTGCCTGAGGCTGATGCGGGCGTCCAACCTGATGCCAAGCGCAAGAGCAAGGCAAAGGGCAAGGCTAAGGCCAAAGCTAAATCAAAGACGGGTCTCGCGGGCGATGACAACATTGAAGACAAGGACCTTGTGGTCCAGGACATGAAGATGGAGCTGGCCGATTGCCGCCCGAAGTGGTGGCTTGATGACCTGATTGGATGCCTGCTTCACGCGGCAAAGTGTGGCTTGATTGGACAGCGTGAGTGTCGTTCACACTTGATGTTTGAGGGGAATGAGCCATTGACCATTTACCATTGTTGCCTCAGTGATGTGGTTTTTGACTTGGTGTCGAATTTGTTTTTCAGCGGCGACTGTAGCAACCGACGTGTCAGTTAGCTGTTGTATAGTTGTCTTGCTGTGTCATGTGGCGGCTGCTGTTTGAGCGATTGCAGCTCAGGCGGGCCGGATAAGCTTCTTGCGGAGGAGAACACGAGAAAGGCTTTCAGCGCCTGCGTCAGCTATGGTCTTGAGTTTTGTTTCTACAAGATGGTGTCGATTGGCGGGAAGGTCTACAAGACTTGGTCCCAGGCAAGAGGGGTGACCCGTCTGTGTCATTTCGACGTAGCGTCTAGCGTTTGCAAGTTGAAGAGTGTTCTTTCTTTTTTGAGCGTTTTTTTTGACAAGAGTTGGACCAGCTCATGAGTGTGTGGGTGTGCCTGTGGGCTCGTTGGGTCGTGGGGCTAGGTGGACTCATGATCAGGGCTGCACGGTTCGTATTGGCGCAGGTTCGACCTCAACTGCAGCAGATGATGCATCTTGTGCACAGCGCGCTGCCAGCTGGCAAGGCAGATACTATGGTCCAGTCCTTGCTTGCCCAGATCCGGGACACAAGTGCTCAAAAAGCAGCGTCCGAGCAAGGCAGCGCATCGTCGCTGCCCAGGAACCTGCCCATGATTGCAGTTCAAAGCGCGCAGGCCTGCGGCGTGGCTGAGACCTGGCTACGCGCGAACAGCTCAACGAACATCTCAGCCCACCCAGCATTCAGCCGCTTTGTGACCAAGCTCAGGTCAGAGCTCTGCACATGTGGAGGTGGCCCAAGTGTGCGCATGTCCTGCGTCACTCATGGATCGGAGTCTTCGGCGCTGACCATGCAGGACATTTTCTTTGAGATAGGGAACTGCATGTTCGAGACCGTGCCAGAGATGGTGCCCACAGTGGCGCTTGGTGTGTCCATGCTGCAGAACATCATTGACAAGTCTGCAGAAGATGCGCCTGAGATGCCTGCCTCGTGTCGGTTCCTGACCAAGAAGGAGGCCAGAGCTTGAAACATCGGGCCAGCTAAGAGCAAGCGTGTGACAGCCAGCAAGTGCAGCAAGTACCGTGTGTTCCTTCAGCTATTGAAAGGCAGCCGAGGGGGGGGACGGGGCTTGGAACGGAGACTTTTTGTTCACTCTGATGGCCTGACGGCGGGAATGGGAGGGTTCAGATGATGCCAAGCCGGGTGGACGGTTTTTAAGACGTGTTCTTGAAATTGTTTGCGGGGTCGCAGTTCTTGCAGCCACCTGCCAGCTGTTAGTGTGCCGCGTTTGCCATGTTTCCGTTCTCACCATTGCAGCTGTCCCTGAGGAGTTTTTGACGCCAGAGAACTTCAAGGATGTCCGCGTGGTGGTCAACCGGGACGCCTTGGACGTCATGTTGAATGCCCGCCCGCTCTACATGGCAGAGGGTCTTAAGGCGCCCGTGTGCTTGGCGCGCTGTGTACCAGCAATCCAAGTAAAAGTGCTGGAGGTTGCGAGTTGAGGGCTGCAAATTGGTGTGTGTGTGTGTGTTTCTGAAACGTAGTGGTAGCCTGAGCGAGTGTGGAACATGTCGCAGAGCATGTGCTCGCCAGGCTGTGTTGGCAGCGCTGCAATCTACGGGCGATCTTCTCGGTCTCCGACGCCTTGGCGTAGACCCTGCCACTTTGACAGAGCGCGTGCAGATCCTGAAAGCCACTCTTCATGCCGCTTCGAAGCAGTTGCCCGGCCTCTCAGCTGACTCTGACTTCCTGGCTGCAACCATCGAGGGCAAGTTGTGCCTTCAGGGTGCCGACTCTGTTGCGTGGGGCAGTACTTGGGCCAAAGCCGTGGGGATGGTCAGCAAGACGAGCGGGGGGTTTCGCCTGCCGGCCGTGTTTGACCTTTTTCCAGATGGCAAGACAGACGCGAGCGATGCGACGCGTCCGATTGAGGTGAAGGACGAGGAGGACTGAGTTGAGGCAGTAATTGGTTGAATGTTTCGACCCCGCCCTTGCAGAACATGTTGGTGTTGATCCCCCACATTCGTGCAGACCTCGCATGTTGAACGATTCTGATTGAATGATTGAATGATAGCATGATGCCCAACCCAACGATACAGTCCCTGCTCCATAATACCACCGGTCATAGGGTCAGTTCACACATGCCACATGCCCGTTTTTGCGAAGTAGCGCGCAAAAGGGCACGCTACCGCCAGGAGCAGACCGAAGAGCAGAAAGATCGGACAGGCAACCGCTCCAGGCGAGCGCGGAAGCTGGTGATTTGGTGCTTTGCGCAACTTGCGCGCGTTGAGGATGCGTTGAGATGTTGTGTGAAGATTATTGGCCTGGTGTTGGTTGATTTCATTGGTTGGTTGCAAGTCACCAGCCACTGAACCACCAGTCATCAGCCATCAATTGCTTAGTCGCTCAGTCGTACTTTGTTTTTAGCAGCGCACAAGTGCGATGGAACGACGCACGCGTGTAATGTCACGGTTTGCATCTTGTGTGATTGAAATGTGCTGTTTTCAATTTGCAACTCGATTAGTTTTGATGTTTCCGTAAAGTTGCTGATCAGCGCAAAATGTGCGCCCACCGACGCCTCCTTGTCAGCTGCGCAGGCAAACCTGCGACAACCCGATGCTCCAGAGCCAGATCGACAATGGCTTGATGGACGTCAAAGCCGAGCGCGTTGCTGTGTCGGCTGTGTACAGCTTTGCCGAGGTGCCAGGATGCGACGGGTTTAACGTGATGGACATTCTGTTTTTGCAGCGCGTAGTGGAGCAGGATGTGCTGAAGACTGCAATGCCAGGGTCCCATATTGGTAAAGCTCGCATGTGTGTGTAGGTGCGCAGAGGGTTGAGGGTGACTGAATCATGCTCAGTTGTTTCTGTTCAGTTGTCTTGCGGGCCAGCTTGTCGGTCTATGTCAGCTTGGTGCTGCAAGGTCCTACAAGGCCACCTTGGAGAAGATATTCCTGGACTACTCAAAGGGGCAAGTGATGTGTGCGAGCTCGGGCCCGAGGGCGTTGACTGAAGATGACAGGATCTACGTTTTTGGGAGCATGTCCTTGGACCAGAGTGCCAAATGTGTCAAGGCAGGGTGTTCTGATGCAGCGTAGTTCCAGTCATCCAACTTTGAGCCGTTCCCTTCAGGTCGGTACTATCAAAGAAGCCGGCGAAGACAAGCCGGAGTTGTTTTCCTTCTTCTGTGGGCCCACAGGATATGACAAGGTCAGTAGCCCTGCACCATGCGCTGCCTGGATCATGAAGGCGGTTGTGGACGATACTGACAGCGAGGATGACTTCAACGCTTCGTTCAAGGCGGCCAAGACTCCGCTCTGCTTCAAGCATGACACGCACTCTCTCACTGCCACGTCCACGCCCCGTGTCTAGTGAAAGTACCAGTTTGTTGTCTAAGCCTTGGTCACGGATACAATGAGCTTGAGCCATTGCCCTGAGCCACCCTGAAAGCAATCCGCTGATTTAATTTGTTGACTTGAATTGGACGCAGGCAACGGGTTGCCGGCTCCAGTCGAGTACTGGCCTTTGCCAAGGATCTCTCCAGACAGGACTTTCACCATTCAGATGTCAATCCCTTACCTTCAGCTCCGACCTCCCGCCAGGAAGGCGCGCTCCGTTTCACATATGTGGATGAGCTGCATTTTGTGGTTATTGAGCAACCGTGCGTGAAAGTCAAGGTTTGTAGTTTGTAGTTTTGTATTCTTGTTGGATTCAGGGCGCACAAAGTGAAGTTCTGGCACCGTATGTTGGAGTTCATGGCGCCAAAATTCGAGTTTTTGCGCATGCTGGTCTTAGGTTTTTTTTGCTCACGGCTGGCAAATGATTTGCATTTTAATGAGTTAGTTGCTGGATTGATGTATTTCACTTGGCTGGTTGCAGTAGTGCTTGCGCAAGTGTGTTCTTTGGCTAGGCCAGGAAGCGCCGGAAGGAGGCCCCTTCCATGCCCGAAAAGTCTGACGAGAAAGAGATGACCCTTCTGAGCCGACCATCGTTTTTTACTCGAGCAGAGAGTAAGCGCATGCAGTTTGACCCAATGCCACCCAAGTCTATGGGTGGCAAGATGGTTAGCGGCCTCATCAAGCCTGACGAGAAGGGTGCTGCCAAATCGAATCGTTCAAGCGGTCTCGTTCCGGAAAGCCTCCCCACCAACATGAATTCGCATTTGCTTAGGTGATTTGACAATCGCTTGAGCACCTTGCGGAGTGATTTTGTGGCGCTGGGAATGGCAACCTGTGGGCCTTCAGTTTTTCATGTACTGTGATACCTAGGCTGACAAGGTGTTAACTCAACTCAATGTTAGTTGGCTGGTTGATTAGTTGATTTCCACTTTTGCAAAGTGTGTGCGCACTGACTTCTTTGTTGCTGCTTTGAGGCGGGTGTGTAGACACAACGGGCCATTGATAAATGACTCAATAACTCATGACCCACTTGACCAGTGACCGTCTAGGTTGAGGTCCCAGCGTCAGTGCGCAATCTGTTGCGCCACCCGCAGACTCTGACAACGTTGGTAATGCGTTGGATGTCTGCATGGTAATCGAGTCATGGCGAGGCATTGCGCCGTCTTAAACATGATACAACACATTTTGCTTGCTGTTCAGTTAGCCGTAACGCAAACAGTAGCAGGTGGTAGCGCGTCAGGGACGTGATCGCCTTTCTTGGTCTTTCTTTGTGTTTTAAACAGAAAGGTTGCTTTTGTGACAAGCTGATGTGAGGGTTCGGAGCCTCACGCTTGAATTGCATGTGCCTCGCCGTGGCCGAAGCCTCACAGGCGATGCAAACTGCTTCGCTCACCGCTGGAAACGACAAGGAAAACAGCCTGCAGCAGTACCATGTTGGGCGGCAGACATTTTTCAGTTTGGACACGTGCCATTGCAAAGAATTGCGCCATTAGGTTTGCTCAAAGTTTGCTGACTGTCTTGCTGAGGCCTGTGGTGACTCTTCCACTCGCAGTGCGTACTGAATCTACTGAATTTGATGCATTTCAGGCATTTGATGATTTGATCAATCGATCAATCATTGTGTCACAGCCTGTCGCAAACACAGAGTATCAGCCGCTGTGCGCCAAAAACACCGGATAACTGCCGGACAACTCCGCCGGCCGGACAACTTTGATTTTTTTGGAGCTGGTGGAGAGGGACACGAGTGCTTTGATGCTGTGTCAGGCTGTGTCAGGCTCACTTATGTTGCGTGGAGATCTAAATCAGGCCCAGTCAGTTGTCGCATTTGGGGGAGCTGCGCTGTGTAGTGCGCTCTAAAGTGATGTCTTGCAAGCATGACACTTACAAGGTCACTAGCTTTGATGCAGACTTGAGGACATGAACACCACAGCAGCGCAAGAAGTTTTAATCTCACACAGTTTGTGCGCCCCCCTTCCCCCCCCACCAGCCAACGGACATTACAAATTGACACTGCAGGCGAAAAAACAAGCAAAGGCTTGCTCGAGCCCTTGGGAGGAGTCAAGCCAAGCTCAAAAAAAATTGACTCCCTAGTCCGGGGAGGAGACCGGCTCCTCTTCTTGCTAGAAGCAGAAGCTTCCTGCGCGCTGCTCATGGCAGGTGCTTCTACTGGGCTGCTAGCTCTTGCGCTGGCAGGGGACACTTCATTGGCACCTGCCTTGCCCCTAAGGGCAAGGATGACCTTCCTAACTGCTGAGTGCAGCTTCTTCCCGCTCTGAGCACTTTTCTCTTTTTGCCTGCAGTAAGAAATGCTTTTGCACATCCTGCCAGCAAAGGCATCCGCAGTCTCTGGAGAAACTGCAAACACACTGGAAGCAGCAGCTTTCAAAATGCTTTGGGTGGGCCTTGCTGTCACCTTAAGCAAGTCGATCAAAAAATCTTCGTAGCTGGCCACTACCAAATCCATCTCCACTTGCTGGAAAAGCTTTGGGTCGAGGCAGGTCAAATTGGCCCGTAGCACCTTGCCCACGGCCTTCTCGTCGGCAGTGTTTTTAGCTCGAGCCATTGCACGGATCAAAGCTTGAGCTCCAAAACGGCTGCCAAGATGTCAAATGGTCACCCGAGCTCCAAGACACGCATGCCACTACCCGAAAGGGAATGCTTCAAAGATCTGCTAACTCATGTAAAAAGGAGGCGGCTGCCTCCTGCTCAAAAAAGTGTAAAAAAACAGACCTTAATTAAGGAAAACAAACCTTAAAAAAACACACCCTAAATAAGGAAAAACACCTTAATTAAGGTAGTAAAAAAAGACCTTAATTAAGATAAGGTCTTTTGGGAGGTGAGGGTTTCCGTGAACCTTTTCTGTCAGACCACCTGTTTGACAACCAATCCGACTACCCGACACATCAGGTGAGAAAATCACGACGCCGTCAGCTTGCTCTTGGCTCGCACTTGTTGGCAATAGATGTCTCGGCCCCACGCAGGTCCGATGTCGAACTCGGCAGGCCCCATGGCCAAGGCATCCAGGAACACTGCCGGCCCTACGCCGCCCAGGTCTCCAGTGCACCAGTCAGCATCACCGAGCAGGAGTACGCTTGTGACACCAGCTTCTAGCATATTTGGCGCAGTGTCCAACGCTTCAAGGGCTGCCAAAGCCGCGGTTCCGGCTCCTGCTCCCGGCGACGCCTCGACATCGATCCCTACCTTGGAGGTCTGGCCTGCATCTGTAGCTGGCCCACTGCCGCAAATCCTGGTGAAAGCACGCCCGGCCACACCGATGACACCTATGACTCCGATGACGCCAACCACCCCGACAGTCTCAACTACAGCATGCCCACCTATGACCACAGCACCGACCCCTATCGCACCGATCCCTACGGCAACCCCATCAGGTCAGATGCTTCCACCGCCCAACCCACCATCCAGGTCACGCCACACGACGGAGGGAGACCGGTCACGTTCCCACAACGCTTCCCCCTACTCCAAGTCAGTGCCCCCACAGCGGCGAGGTCGAGCTCGCTCCCGGACGCCACCTCCGATCTCCCGAAGGGACTCAACA